ATGCCCAGCTGGGCAGTCCCAGGGGACCTGCAGGGACCTGGAGCAACAGGAGGGACCATCTGCACTGCAGTCGGTGCTGCCCTGGGGTACAGCACATCAGGAGGAGCGAGTGCTGCTCAGGAGCCCAGCTGCCTCGTGTGACAAGAGGTGGCAGCACCATGTGGGCTGCAGATATCTAGGCAGGTTTCTGTGGAGGTGGTGCAGCCTTGGTTGTGTGGCTGTACCTCTGAACTGCACCAGACTGTCCTGCGTTTGGCTCTCTCTTTGTGGGCAACCCTCTCCAGCTGTGATAGCTGGCGACAGGCCTGGTAGAGACCTCCATTACAAAGTTAACTGGTGTTTTGCTTGTAAGAGAGAGGAAAAAAAGATCTCATTTTAGCTTTTTTTCCTCCTACTTGTGATGGCTTTTGCTCCCTTTTTGCCCTGGAAGGTTTTTTCTCTTAGAACATTGCTGCCTGGTAGCAATCACCTAGTGTGTGCCTAAGTGCTCTACAGCACAAGGCTAATCTTTACTGTTTCTTCAGAAATCGCAAGTTCATACCCACATGTTGTTGTGTGATTAATTTCCACCACCTCATCACTGAATTTGGTCCACTGGGTCTGATAATCAGTAAAGGAACTGGCAGCAGGAGGAGTTGCTGTAACTCACTCTTTTAGTATCTAGCAAAGAGCAACATAGCAAACTGTTGGGAGATGGCAGAAATACAGAAAATGTCAACTAGTTCTTACTTTGTGGCTTTCTCCTTGGTGCTCCCATAGAAGTTAAACTAGCTGAGATGCTGTGCTGCGTGCTTATTAATACAGCAGCTAGCTCTATCTATCTGAGAAGTAATAAATTTCATTAAATATAAGAAAATCTTAGACTCTCTCATGCACCACCTATGACTCCTGTTTACATAACCAGATTCTGTATTATTCTGTCACGTAATAAAAGTAAATCACCTCCAGATTATCTGTAATAGACTCTTGCCTTAGCCATACAATCCCTTCAACCTCTGGAGGGGACAGCACCTACAAAATCTAGATGCCTCTCAGTAGGGCATAAATATATTTGCACAACTGGATAATGTGTTTCTGCATCTGACACTGGGAATAAATAGCCTAAAATTATCTTTCCTGCATTAATAATGATGATGACTCTCAGTGGACCGCAATAATGAAAACCATTGACTGCTGTCACAGTATGATGTATGAGAGAGAGGGAGGGCATGAACTTAATTGCAATTGAAATATTATGAGCATTTCCTACAGCGCAAACCATTATTACTCTGTGTTTAGCCTCAGCACACAAACGTCTGCTTCTGGTATATACCTCCCAGTTTGCGCATTATGGAAGACAATGAAGAAAGAATGAGCCGCCTTATGAAGGTAAGCAGCGTCCTCCAGGACATCGTGCAGCCAGCAGTGAAACCCTTGCAGGTGGGCAATCCCCATAATGATCTTCCAGGGCACAGGGAAAGGTGACCTCATGATATGCTGACAGATGGCACCTCCATGGTCATCTTACTGCAGATTAGTCTGGCACCATCTAATCTGGTCTCCGAAGTTTGGCATTCCCTGGGTTTGCCATCATCTCTAGAGCACTTACTTGCTCTGTGTGTATTTACTGAAGTTACTATGAACTGCAGCCATTAAACCCAGAAAATGCAGTAAAAGCTCAGTACTCGCACTCTGGCATGTGAGAAGAAGATGGAAAACAATTGTAAGAATATGTTTGGAGCACTACAAAAACCAGCTCTGTGTCCCTGTCAGCAATATTGGGAAGGTGGGGGAGAAAATTCCCCAGTGAGTTTAAGAGCAAGACAAAGAAACTGGATAAACCCAATGTCCTTTCAGTAAGGTGTTTATTCCATAGTGGAGGTTAATGTTTTTTTTATTAGTATTGGATGTGATTTCATTTTAACTACTTCTACCTCTTCATATATTTTTTTAAAAAAGAAGACATACTGTGTCTTCTGTTATAATAATAATAATGATTATGGTAATAATGAAAACAGTTAATGATCGTTACCATCCCCTGCAGGTGGCTCCTGTGATAAAAGCCAGGATGATGGAGTATGGCACGACTATGGTGAGCTATCAGCCCCTGGGAGACAAAGTGAACTTCTTCCGGATGGTCATCTCAAACCCCGCGGCAACTCACCAGGACATTGATTTCCTGATTGATGAAATAGAACGTCTGGGACAAGATTTATAATAATTGGCTGTGAAAGTCTGTTCCTGGACCTCTGAGTAGACAATTGAGTTGTCACAAACTGTGCGAATGTATTTGTAGTTTGTTCCAAAGTAAATTTATTTCTATATCGTGGCGTTGGAGTAGAGTACAGTTTAAAATCAAGAAACATGGCTCCTTTAAAGTCCTTTCCTGAGTTTTAGAATACCTCCTTAATAATTAGCTGCACAAAAAGCTGCGTTTAAACAAATAAGGAAGAACAGAAGATGCTTAAAATTTTATCCCCGATTTTAACACAGCAACTACTTTAAATTAAAAGCAATTGGACTGAATTATGTCAAATTTCCCCAGAATGGTGACAAAATCAAATTGTGGGAAGTGGGAGGGGGCGGTGAGAAGTAGAGCATACAAGCTGTGTGTTTAAAAGGGAAATATTTTGCCTTTTACATAGTATTAGAACAGAATTTCTAATTTACCTATAGCAACATTGCAAATGTGTTTAAATAGGTATAGTTTTACAAAGGGAAATATATATATATTAAAAAATCCTATTTTGTAAACTATATATTTTTATTTTGTATGGGTTATAAAACTGCAAGGACAGAAGCTGAAAATTAACTAGGATTCTTTTTCTTTTGATGGAGGCCTCAAGTATTTATTACTGCTTATTTTAAAATATAAGCCCACATACTACACTCGTAAGAGGTACCAGTACCTCTTTTCTCCATGTCATATGGATTGTACATCTCCAGGGTTGATTACTGAAAAACCTCAAGAGTACTGCAGCTCTTAAAACCACTTAATAAGATCAATTACAGTACAACAATAGGATGCTATTATTCCTAATTATGTTTCCCGCTTGGCCTAACTAAGCAGACGCACAATCAATATACAGTGCTAACCAAGACTGAAATAAGGTTGTATTTGGATGGTTTCTGTGTTCTGTGGTGAAAAAGCCTATATTAAAAAAAGTCACGTTTGAATAAATGCTT